CATGGTTAACGCTAGACTGCTGTCCTCAACAGCATTGCCGCCAACTTGCGTCACGTTACAGCCAGCCTACGCCACGTAGGCTACCGGCGCTCCCTGAACCAATCAGAGCGCAGCACAAAGCCATCTCACGACCAAACAAGTGTGACGTCACAACCACCTGACAACACCAGTAGATCAATCAGATATTAACAATTGGAGTACCTTGGAGACTAAGCACAGTCTTGGGAGCTGATATCCCTGCAGCAGAGCGCCCTCGTGTATTTTCTAACCTGTCACAATTTCTGTTGCAGTCTGGCATGCTGGATCCACTGTGAAACCAAAGGAGCTATAAACAATTGATTTATGTCTTGTTCTAACTAACTTACTCTCAGATTCAGTCTACAGATATGAGAAACTTCTTGCTGGGAGACCTGCTGCAGCCCCATGGAAACCTGCATTTTGGTGCCAGAGGCAGCACTCTAACTAGCAAAGTACCAAGTTCGGTGCTCTGCGCTCTGCTCTTTCTCTTTGACAGGGAACAGGCTGGGAGGTGCTTCGTACACCCCAAGTCTTAAAAACCAATTATAAAAAAAATAAAAAATAAATTGAACTATGCAAACCAAATTTTAAGAATGATTGATGATCTATAGTATACTACAACCATTTAATCTTAATAGGCCTAATCAACATTTAGGCTGAGATGCGTGGCAAGACTCGACTCACTCGAGGCCATTGACCCATGGCCATAAGCCTAGTGGCAAAGCAGAGTTTTTTAGACTCTCCTTCAAGTTCACTTATGAGTTCTATAGCTAAGTAAGTAGGTAGACCAGCAAAGTATCATGGAAACCAGCATCATCATACATAAGATATTGGTTTAAATCTTGAGTAAATGAGGAAATTAAAAATGAACTGATTCTAAAAAATTGCTGGTTTGCCACTATGAATTTATTCGCGAGCAGCGAGCTTAACACCTCTTGGAAACCTAGACTGTAGACAATTCACAATTATCATCAGCACATTGCTGTGGTGCTTAACAATGAGTTACGTATGATTCAGTCTTGAACGTTTGAGCACAAACAATTTCAGAACATTTCATGTGAAATCAACAGATTAATATTTATTAATCTTGATCTTAATAATTATTTACACAGCAAACCACCTATGATGTACGTAGGTTCTCTAGCTTTTGCGTAAAGATATCTAAAAAATATATGTTATGAACATTTTTTAACAATATGTATAAAGATTTCTTCAAGTCCATATGTTGATATGTATAGATCATTCACATTGTTCTTGTTAATACTTAATTGCAAGGAAATTGCACTTTGCAATCATTTGAAAGCTACCTATAAACAAGCTTTCAACAAAGCTAATAGGTAATAGGCTAATAGGTAAATAGCCAACGAAGCCAATAATAGGTAATAGCCAATATGAAGCTTGCAGTGGACAAGGTTGTTGTCAAATGTCAATGCTCAATGACATGTCTATACTATAGACATGGTAATATCACATCAATAATACAGTAATGTACTGCCAAACAGGGTAAAAAGGGACAGTCCTCCAACATTTTGTAGAAATGTTGTAGCAGCTAAACTAAATAAATATTGCAAAACTAAAAATAGTGGTGTAAAGTTCAAGATTTTTACTAGGGTAAACGCGGTATATTCCGACACATTAAGGACGCATCGAGAAATGAAAAACTATAAAAAAACTGTATGCGTTACATAAGTTCTGTTGCCTTCACGTGACTCTCAAAACACTTCACTACGCGTCAGCAACAATGAAACTTCACAAAATGTTGCCATATTTATTAAAAAGCCTTTAGAATGGAAACCTACCAAATCCCTATATTCCGTAAATATTGCAAAACTAAAAATAGTGGTGTAAAGTTCAACATTTTTACTATCTATGCAGCATAAAGCAAGTTGAGAAATCAAACATTTCTTACCTCTGAAAAATCCCTGAAGAAAAGTGTGAAATGATGGTTCATCCATGGTATTTGCTTTCCTGAACTGCATCATTTGTAACTTTCAAATGAGTATCAACACTTTGCAATTAAGGCAAAGAATGCGATAAATGCCATTTTAATGAAAATTTGTACATAATATTATAAAAAGTCATTTTTAAAAGTTCAAAACAGCCTTACTACACAGAAATTATTGCATGTAGTACATCCATTTCCATGGTACCATCAAACGGGGTAATAAGGGATGGGCGGGGAAAATTGGTACAGTTGTCCCACATTTCTTAGAAATGTTGTAGCAGCTAAACTAATCAAAATATTGCAAAACTAAAAATATTGGCATAAAGTTCAACATTTCTACTATCTATGTAGCATGAGTTAAGAAATCACACATTTACTACCTCTAAAAAATCCCTGAAAAGAAGTGTGAAAAGTGAGATTTTGCAAATTACCTCTGCTAAGGTCTCTAGAAGAAAATATTTGCCGTATCAAAAAATTTTACTTATATAAATAATAAAGGTCGCATACAAGTGTTTGCTTAAAAACGTGATTGACAGAATTTGCATATCTCATTCAAAAAAAAAATGGTGGCCATTCATGCAATACGTTTCCCTAAAAATGCAATTGCAGTAGAACCTTGATTAGCAAAAGCTCTAGTCAACAAAAAAAATCGATTAACAACAAAAAATTTTAATTACGTATATTTGCTTGCTCAGCAAAAAAATTTTACTTGACAAAAATTAATGCGCCATCGGTCGTCATGAAATTTTTCAGAAAATGTCATAGATAGAATTGTGTGCCAGCAACATAATATGAAATTAAATGAAAATTAATTAACCTGAACTATTATCTATTTCCCCGAAAAATATGATGGTTGTCACTAAAATATTCCTTTCTGTTTCAGGTCTGATTTTACGATCTTTTTTTGTTATAGTGGATTAACTTGACCCAATTAAAATGGTGTGATATTACAAGCCGTCCTGTAAGCTTAGTTACAGATTAACAGATACAGAAAAGTGCTGTACAGCTGCTGATTTGAAGCTTGCAGTGGACAAGATCATTGTAAATGTTCAATGGGATATTCATTGATACAGATGCCAGATGGTAATATCACATCAATAATATGGTAATGTATGGCTATGGTAATAATATCATATCAATAAAGAAAAAACAAGTAAAAAATCACAGAAATAGCCATTTATTCTACTTCTACATCATCTAATGATCTAGGTACAAAGGAAAAGGAGGACTTCAGATTACTGTTAGTAATAGATGAGTACACTTTGTGTGCTTCAAACATTTTAAATTTCTTGTTTTATTTCAATAGTCCTGGGTTACCCCATTCCCAACTTTCCAGGGGTAATTTGGGGCACATTTATTTTGCATCTGGCACCTTATGAATAGCATATGGAATTTTTTCCAAGATGCCATGCAATAGCCCTTGCAAAGAGCTATAAAATGAGCCCAAACTTGTCTATGAAATGCTTCATCTTAAGAAGTTGTTAACAAAAAATGCTCAAAAACGTCCATTTTTACCCCATTTGATGGTACTCATTGCTTTGGATGATGTAAATATATATTTAAGGTATAAGAAAACAGGGTGACTTGGACCAATGACAAAATTACTTGGACTGTTTTGATTTAAAGAAAAGAAAACCCTCTATAACTAAAAAAATTATTGCATGAAAAAATTCTGCTTTTGAAGAGCTTTGAGATAACCTACAAATGCAATAAAGATATATTTTGTATGTATACCTACTATGTACTTGAGTGAAAATTTGTACCGCAAAAAGCCCCAACAAGTCAACAAAAATGGTCAAGTCAGTAAACTCAAGTTTTAAGATACAGGTATAGGTATGTATTCTACAGATTACCATTATTGGAATTCAAGGTGATCTTTTAGAAATGAGCTTTTCCTGTATACCAGTAATTTATTTTAGCTTTTATTTTGAAGAATTGATAGAACTTTATTACCGTCAACCGGGGCAACCCGGGACTGGCGGGGCAACTCAGGACGCACCTCCGACACGGCGTAAAACTGTTATAGAAGCAAAACTAATTGGAATATTGCAAAACTAAATATAGTGGCGTAAACGTCAACATTTTTCCTATCTATGTAGTATAAAGGAAGTCGAAAAGTACGACATTTACTAGCTTTGAAAAATTCCTGAAAAAAATGGTGAAAAACGCTGTTTTGAAAAGTTACTTCTGCTAAGGTCTGTAGCAAAAAAAATATTCGCCGTATTAAAAAATTTTACTTACATAAAAGTTGCACCCAGGTGTCAGCTTGAAAACGTAATTGACAGATTTTGCCTATCTCATTCTAAAAAAAATGGCGGCCATTTCCGCACGGCGGGGCTACTCAGGCCACCCCCCGGGGCTAGTCGGGACACCTCCAAAAACGCATTTTACGGTAGAACCTCAGTTAGCAAAAGCTCCAATTGCGAAAAAAATTGATTAAAAACAAAGAATATTGATCACATTTTCCTTGCTCAGCGAAAAAAATTTCACTTATCGAAAAATTAGTGCATCATCAGTCATCACAAAATTGTGCATAGCATGTCATGTATAGAATTGTGCACCAGGCATCATAGAATGAAAAGTAATTGACCTAAACTACAATTTATTTCTCCAAAAGATACGTTGGTTGTCACTAAAACATTCCTTTCTGTTTCAGGTATGTTTTTCACGATCTTTTTTACTATAGTAAATTCACTTAACCCAATTAAAATGATGTGAAATTAAAGCTTTTATTTTGAAGAATTGATAGAACTTTATTATGCAAAGCACCAAAGACATGCTTGCATAAATCTGCAATGTACCAAAATGACAGAACTTGAATATTTCTGAAAAATGCTTTGACCTTGCCATCAATGATATATTTTGTCCATGAAAGTTTATCCGTAGGTCCATATTCTTACACCTTAAATGCCTCAGAAATATATTCATAGGAAATATAATTATTTTAATTTAGATGCTTATAGTCATGACATTTCAAATTACTAATGAGCTGTTATTCTATCAGCTGTTAATAATGTACCTATATACTTTTCATCAGATTTGAATAGCCTCCACCATGCCAGAGCCTTACCGGCCACTCCCACCTTATCATAATGAGCATTTAGATGAAAGTGGAGGCAGGCCAAGCAGCTATGTGGTACAAATCCCATCTACCTCTGAGTGTCATCAGACCTGTGGTGCGGACCGACACCACATACCAATACCTGTGTTGCCTGCTTTGCTGGCTCTTACTTTAGTGCAGGTTTGCTCTTCTATGTGTTTGTGCTATTTTTTTGCTCATATGACATATTTCTCTGTGCCTTCCCAGTCTTTCTCTAGATTTTATTTGTGAAGGTTTAATTGAAAAGAATGCTTTTACATGAGATATAACAGCTTGTGAGATACGGGATAACAGGAAATCTTTTTACATCATATATTTTACATTAATTGTAGCATTTGATCTAAGAGTCCCTTGTCCATCAACAGATAGGACTTCTAGTGGCAGTGTTCCTGGTTCCTGTCTTCTCTGAAACCCTACCAATCTCCACCAATGCTTTCTCTGTCTTACAGTACCTCTATGTTGTGTGCTGGGCAATTATTTCAGTAAGATTTTTGAGTACAGAACTATTTGCATACTACATACATTAATTCTAAAAAACAGTTAATTATATTAATTCAATAGGAAAAATATTTGACATTTATTGAGATGATAATCCTCAAATGAAGAACAAAGGCTAATGCAAGCTAAAGCTGAAAAAAATTCCATTCAATTTATTCATTAATAAGAGATACCATATCACATGTGGGAATGCATCTTGTTATGATATAAAATATTTGCGATTTCTATTGTACGTATTATTTTACAGTTCCTCTCATGGTGCATTGTGAATGAATTCCATCGTATTTGGCTGCTTGGCTACCACCAATTCCACCGGACCACAAAGCACCTGCATGCTGCCTCATTCTTCATCTACACTGGAGGTGACTCATGATTGGTATTTTCCTCTGCATCAGACAAGGAAATTCAGTTAATTTTGCTAAGTATTGCATTGGCAGCAAACACATAAACTTGATTAAGGAGTCATTAAATCTAAGGATGAAATAAAAAAAAGTTGTTTTTCATATAATAGAAAATAAATAGCTTAGAAATTCTTGTTCGTCTTTTCAATGAGTCGAACCAAATTTCTAGCTGGAGCCGGGAGATCGAAAAGCAGGTTTCCGAATGACATTTTAATAGATTGCAATGTTTCGAAAATACAATTTTCATTATCAAGCTGGTGAAGGTTTTACAACATCTGAAATTGAATTTGAAATGACAGAAGTACATATCAAAGTACAAATGACACAAATATAGGTATATATTTATATATATTTGTGTAGTTTGGCAGAAGCTGTTCTTTAATGCAGGTTTCATTGAAGACCAGAGAGTATTTCTTATTATATATATTTGTGACTTCTACCTTCCTTAAAAGTAATTGATGTTACAAGAATGATGATATGCCCCTGCTGCAGGGTTGGTACTGTACACTGTGCTGGCCACGGCTGTGAGGGACTACTGCCCAGCCGGCGCCCTAGGTCCCTGCGGTGAACATGTGCATCTTGTGCCAGTCAACTACCAGCAGATCATTGTTGTTGCCCTCACACTCTGCTCGTTTATATTCAACATCAAACTCATGAGTAATTTCCTTCTAGTTTGAAATATTGTATCATTTTATAAGAAGCTGTATTCATGCGTTCACTAAGAGGTCAAGAGGCCTGAAGAACAAATGTTGAGTCTAAAAGAGGGTTAGTGTCTTCTGAAAGCTTAAATAGTTACTTGTGTTTCTTCACTCAATCAATGATTTGGAAGCCCTAACTGGCTACTTCTCTCAACCAATTTTTTCTGCTATGAAATAGTCTATTAAATTTGATCTGTGACTAATTGATTTCTTCACACAGCTTTTGCGGCGCCCATGTTGGTGTATGTTTCCATGTTGATTGCATTTCCCTCAGACGATGTTTACCGCTTCAATCAACAAGAGCTCCCGCCCGACGTGCTCGTCGATGATCTCGGTGTGCGGCTGAGCCAAGCTAGCTCCTTCGCCGGTGCTGGGTTAGTGTTCAAAATACTTGATTGAAGAGCCCGTGTCGCGAATGAGTCTCGATTTCTTGCGTTGGAATACCTGTGTTGAGTAAGAACTTTTCCTTTTGCTGGCGCTTTAACTCGTGTTATCTTCAACGCTTCAACATAGTGCTGCTGAAATACCTACAGTTCAACTATGTCAAAAAGTGTAAATGTGTGAAAAAGACTTTGGCGTGTAGGCAGAGATCAGTGTTTCTGTTGCCAAGTTTATTTGCAAGCGAGGTTATTTACAGGGTTAGTTATAGTTATATGCTGTTTACAGCGAGTTTATTTTGCAAGCGAGGTTATTTACGTCTTATGCTTGCTGCTTTGTGCAGAGACAGAGACGTGATGTGCACCATATTGGACGCGCAAGGCTGCATGATCGATTTCCTGCGAGACCAACTGACTCGTGTCAACCAGCAAGGCACGTTGCTTGCCCACGTCCTCGAGCAGCAGCACTCTGACCCATAATCCTTTAACTATATTCCTTAATAACCTCAACTATAGTCATAAAAATATCATGTTCTGTCTTTTATATCAGATTTGTTTGAATTTCGTCTATAGTAAGGGAGAGTAACATGACAAGAACATTTTATGACTTTAGATGTCAATCAATTTTGACGAAGGTGACTTCTTCAAGTGGAAAGCATCTCGGTCGAAAAAACTACCTCCAGGGAATATGCTAGTTCCCATACTCTATTATTTTCACTAACTTGATGTGCACGATTGATCTGCAAAGATGGATTGAAGAGTTTTTAATTTATTACGGAAATCGTCGCTTTATTTTGTAACACTATACCAATAATAAATTTCAAAAGTGTCTATATTAGCATAAGATTGAGCCGTGTCACAACTATTTGATCTGATATTTAGTATAATCATAAGTTATATTCATTGCACATAACAATTCATTTCACTTTGCTATTCAGACAAATAGTTATCAAATTCCGAAACCCAAGTTGAATGAATATCTTGATGTATCAGATCCGCTGCTATCCACTTGTCTACCTTTGTGTATTGAACGGATTTTATCCCTTTTTCTTAAACGGTTTCACTCGCTCAATACTATAATGCACTATAGCTATGAAATGCACTATAAATAGTTTCCAGCTAACTGTTGTTGCTCGTATGTTTTTCCCTAGTGCGGCGGTCTGATTAGGCAATGAATTGTTTCTCTATTCTAATGCCGCTCAGAAACTGATTTTGATAATTACTATTAAAATTAGGTATAATCATGATAATTAATCATTGTTAGTCTCCTAGTGGATGTCCATCAGCGATGGTTTTGGTAGCTCCAACCGGATTGCTGTCAATACGGATTGAAGGATCTGGCGCAGCTACTTTAGGGTGTTCACTGCACTGCTCACTAAGCGTCGTTCTTGCGAGAATTGATATTCCTCCTCGTGAAAATATTTATATAAATGTCAAAAAATGTATCGGGACAAAACTAAAGAGCACCTTTAATTTGAGATTTTTAAGTATGCAACCGATTACAATTGGTTCGAATATTTTCTTCCTAGTCTCTTATTGCCTGCATTTCATTCATTATATATATTCCCTGGATACGTAAGTTCTCTAGGTACATAAAAGGTGCTATTATTGACGCTTACTGTTGTATGGTCGAGCTTGTATTCATGTTTATCCCAGGAAATCTGTCGATCTGAATGCTTTCTTTGTCTTAATATATTGCGATACAAATTACTTGGACTCTCCGTAATTGTTAGGTACTTTGTTGCCGTGCCATGTTTGGGACTGAAATGCTCATGAAAACTGACTTTTTCCAATCTATTCAATTTTTGCCATGATTATTATTATGCAGTGAAATATGCATTGCGCCTTTAATTTTCTTAGCATTTGTTATAATTTAATAGTTTGAATAAAATTTCACAATTTTTATTTATGCCTTGCAGTGCTATACGACTTTGTATTTTTTTTATTAACGTATATTTATGCACTGAATTTCTATGCAGTTTACCGCTCTGGGGACAATCAGTTTTTCCTTTGTTCTAAGTGACATTAGTCGGGTCAGTCTTCTCTTGGCTTTCTGTGTGATGTTATGGAATAAAAAATGTATTTTTTAATTCCTATAATTGTTAATATTTCGATTCACTGACTGCAATACCATGAAGGACAGAAAATCTTATTGGAAATAGAATAAATTCTGTATGACGCTCTAAGAAAAAGCTTCTTGGGATCGCGGAAGGTATGTAGGTACTAAATTCCCGAATGTTTATACACGCCCCATGGCTATTAGTAACCGATCTTAATGTAGGTATTACTCCAGAGCGGTGTGTATCTGTGGTGCTCCTGTTATTGAAGAGATTAATTATCAGGCATTTATTAATTTTGTGTTTTTGTAACCTTGAAGTAAGTGATATTAAGTGATATTGGTAAATATCGCTATAAACATAGTCTCCCCTAAACGGCAGTTATTCATGTCTATCTTAAAGCTCGTTCAGTTCTCGTGTTATTTCTCTAAAGTTACTTGTTCCTTCAAATACTTACATTGAACGAGTAACTGAGGAACATTATTTGTTCCTCTGGCGATTACACGCGTGAACTGAGAAAAAAAAAATCCATTTATTTTTACCGTTTTCTTTTTCGCTGTTCTGGGTAAACAAATAATGGTTCATTTGATAACAAAAAACAACAATTTAAACGATTTTGAAACAAATTATTTTCAAATAATAAACATCGAAGTTAATGCCACGAACACCATGGCGTCCAGCTTAATTATTCAGTGCCAGGCGCGGGTCTGACGTTGATATGGTAGGAGGCGTAGCCAAGCCCTTCGGGGAGAGGAGCCTCGTGGGTGACACCAAGGTTCTTGGCCACGTATCCTGAGGGGAGGCCTGCTGCACTGTAGGTCTGAGGAACCACTTTGGAGTCGAAGACCTGAGGCTGAACGAACGTAGTCTGGACGGCGTTGAATGTCGGCTTAACATCACTGAACTCAGGCTCAAACACCTGGTTGGTCGCGACGCCGCTAGAGTAGACGATAGGTGAGCTGAAACTCACTGGCTGAGCTGCGTGGTAGAATGTGCTTGGGATGAAAACTTGTGGGGTGTGAACGACGGAGCTCTGAACCGAGTAGGTAGTGGGGATCACGCCTGCCACGGGGATTTGGCCTGAAATTGGGAAACCGAAGTTCGAGGAGTAGAAGAAAGGAGATGCGCCTGCTGAGGCGGCAGCGACCATGGCGAACAAGATGGCGACCTGGCCAGAGAATCATTTCGACACGTGAATTCCAACTTGCAAATAAATTTATAATGTAATTGATAGAAAAACATGACTGTGATACTTGATAAACGTACGAGAAAGACGGACAATTACATGCGGTGATCGATAGTGTGGATGATATTTGTTATAAGAGTAATTTACTGCCAGATTTAGATCTTTATATGCACATATTTGCCATGTGTAGAGCATATGTAACGAGTAATACACAGTCGTACGAAAATCTAATTTCGTGAGTAACTTAAACCTGGTGTACAGAAACCGAAGACTTATTTCTTAAATTGCTCGCATCTCTTTCATCATTGATTTCCTCGTCCTCACGCCAACCTTATTTATTATATTTTATCCGGGAAATAAATCAAGTCTTATTTAGATAACACGTATAATTCTAAATCTTAATCACATCATTTTAACTTATTAGGCATTATTAAACATATTATTAGCATAAGCGTAACCGGCACTTACTCAATTTATTTCAGCTGATTTTCTTAATAAGTTCCCTAAAATTCTATGTTACCTGCATAAAAACTCGGCCTTTTAAGCTTTAGACGGCATTTATCTAGTGATCCCAGAAGTTTAATTTTTTAGTTGTTTAATTCAAGAGCAAAAATGCGTTGTGCACTTCACTTCTAGGAAAATATTTTTTTCAAATCCAAAGATACTTGTAAGGAACATGCAAATCCATCAACAAACAGAGGATTTAAAAAATTATGCGTCTCTCACCTTCATGACAGCGATGTTGACAGTCCAGAAGCAGCGGCAAGCAAGACAGAGACGCCGCCCGGCAAGTTTGCCTTTTATACCCGGGCCAGAGGTGCGGTTCACTGCAGTCACCCTGTCAAGCTCCGCCTACTTATGCCGGCACTGAAAACTCGCTTTTCGATACTGCCACAAAACAAAGTAATGGCTTGATAAATGCATTCGATAGCTTCTGCGTATAATATTTTAGAATCAGTTTAGCACACATTCAGACAGAAAGCATTTGCGACGTCTGCATAAATTTCCAAGCTCTTTCTGTTCTCGTCTGAGGCTGTACAGCGTACAGAGCATTCCATTAAGCCGAGCACTATTTTTCGTTCATTTTATATAATCATCTTGTACTGGTTACAATTCTATGTTACCAACTTTTTCTGTAAAATTCATGTTTCTCATGAATTCGCTTCCTCGTGGACAACAAAGCATCTTGGTTTCAGCTGATTGGTGGACCAGAAATCATGTACAGAGCAACGACCTTTGACGTCCTTCCTGTCTCTGAGCGGCGCTGGCCAGCAAAACTGAGCTGGACCTAGAAATTTCCTAGAAGCTGCTCTAGTTTTTTATTTATCGCCAGCATTTTATTTTCTCGAAATTGAACGTTCACCTCGCAGATGAGTATTCAAATTCTTTATGCTTATTCATAATTCTGAATTTACACAGAGCAGCACTGCATACCAATGAAGAAACTGAGAAGATCTGTTAACAATATATTCATTTCCATACAGCCTCCTATATTTTCCCTCAGCCAGTTAAATAACCAGTTTTGAGAAAAGCTCCCAACAGCTGAACGGTAGCATCTGTTTCATATTCTGCGCTGCTTGAGAGATTTCGTAAGCTATAATTTTTTGGGTTACAAGATTGCTTTTATGATCACTTTTGAGTTAGGTACTTTAGTCTCCCGAAATTTCTTTGTTCGCTCGAAATTTGTGTCAATGTGTTTTCGTAGCTAGTTCACAGCCAGTAGCTCTTCAGGCAATTTAGAACAGATTTTCAAAATGGCAAATAATGATGAAAAATGAAAAAAAATAATGGCAAAATTTAATTCAATGATGTGAAAAATAGTCAACTTTCGGAGTTCTAGAGAAGATTGAAGCGAACAAAAGGAAATATTTAGTGTAAATCGCTTCTGAATCCTTATCAAATGGCTAGTTATTTCATCGAGATCTTATGGAGTCGGATCAAGTAGAAAATTTGTACTCGTTGCGAACACCGGGATTGCGAACTGAAATCGGGTAGATACTGCTACGCAAACCAAGATTCAACACTGCGCTCATTCTGATTTTGTTGTTCGTTCAATGAAAAATAGAAATTTACGGTGTGTATTACAATGCAAGAGAAACCGAATTGTCCGAAAACCCGCGACATTTTTGCAACGGAGTAAGCGTTTGCGGAATAGTCACTCGTAAGTTAGCTCGTATGTTTTATCTCATATTATGTGTTTTCGAACGCTTTTTTATGTATTAGCATGTGTGCTATGAGCCTCCGGCTCTACATGCATATGGGATATTCAAGTGCATATCCACATCATGTTGATAGATTACCAGGATAAATTTTTTCCCTGGAATAGGAACTGATGAGTCATATAACGGCAAGAAGGAAGTCGAAATAAAGTGTTCATTATTCATTACGGACGGATTTCTTTCTAGAAATTCATAATTAGGATTTCTTTCCAAAATTCGAACGCGAGTTACTTATTTTGAATTATATCTTGTATGTGGTTTAAACGGTACTTTATTCAATTATCTTTGCTCATTAATTTCTTCATCTTTTTATTTTTTTATACATCAACTTCAATTTTGTTATTTCAGTTTTAAAATTAACTACGTAATTCGTGGTAACGGGTTTCACTGACCTGTGGGGTTATTCATCTGTAGGTGACCAGTACTCTTGCTTTTTAATGAGATGTGAAATATTTTTTTTACATGCTATATTTTTTGCCTTTAAACAAAAAGTTGGGAGTTATAATTTTATTGAGAACAGGTTGGTTATTAATCTACAATCTAGGTTGATTTGAAGATAGAAAAAGAGAAAGTAATTCATTTTTTTATTCATAATTAGGGATGCTTAAACCTGCGATAAATGGAGATGTGCAGTTCCAGAGCTGGGAAATTTCTTGCGTGATAGTTTTGCTGAGCAGCAATAGCTTTTTTTAGTAAAATATTGCTGAGCAGCAATAGCTTTTTTTAGTAAAATATTGCTGAGCAGCAATAGCTTTTGTTAATAAAATATTGCTGAGCAGTAATAGCCACGCTTTTAATTCTCAACATTAGAGGTGGCGATGTGTTCCAGGAACTGCTGCAGGATGCACTCCAGCATAAGGTTTGGCAATAAGTCCAGTGTGAGAACCGATGTGTGATGCAGGCACTTTTCCATGTGCCAACGGGATACTTTTGTGTACTCCATGTGAAGAAAAAAGTTGTTCTTGTGGGATAAAGTACTGTGTAGAACCAGGGAGTTGGGAAGCTGGCGAGTTGAGCGATTGACGTCCATGTGTAAATAGGTTCTGACCGAAGCTGAAGGGTTGAGTCTTAGCAAATGCCAAATTTCTTTGATGATGAATAGATGAAGAATCATCCTCATCATAGTCATCTACTTCATCATCATCATCAACATCTTGATCATCGTCATAGAAATGGTTCTTCAGTGGGATCGCTTCGTTTTCGTAGCCGAAACGGTCGATTGTGTTTGCACCCAAAGCATGGAACGGTGTCGAGTATTGACTGGTGAAGTCAAATTGCGATTCGTATTCGCTTGCTTTGTTTTTCGGAATGAAAACATTTTTGTTACCGTAGGCCTTGAGTAATTCGTTTTCTTCAAGGAAATTACTTTGCGGAAAGTTAACTGCTCTAAAGCTGTTAGGGTAGCCATTTGCAAACGCTGAAAGGAAAGGAACGATGCTACCAGCACTGTAGGTAATCGGAGCCGCTCCTGGAACTGCACTTGGAAGCGAACTGGAGACGAAGTTTAGTGCCGGTAGGTTGGAGTAGACGTTCGCATAAGGGAAGTAATTACTTGATTGAACTTTTTCGAGGCCACCGTCGTACTTTGAAGGATTACCCGCTTCAGCTAATGAAGCAATGGGATCAAATTCCGTAATAGTCCTCAAGTTGTTTTCGAAGTTCGAAGGATTTCCCGTTAGTGAAGCTACTGGATAGAATTGAGGAATTTCTCGAAAGATCTTATCTGAATGGGCATGATTCCCTGCAACTTTGAGTGAAGCTGTGGGATAAAATTGGGGAATAGCTTGCACTGGTCCAGCGTGCGGGTGCCCGATGTTAGGGAAATAAGGAGTGCGAGTCCGCAGCCTGGTTGGGTCTTGGATTGCAGGAGTGGCCAAGGCCTGCACGATGACAGCGAATGCAACGAAGATCTGAAAAATAATATTCACGTCATGGTAATCTTTCGTATTGCGCAAGACCAGCATTCATACTTAAAAAACGCTTCGACTCCGCTTTGTCGCTAAAACGCTTAGTTCTACAATTCTTCCGTTCCTGATATTTTATGTGAAAAATAAATCATAAACAAAAAGCAATTCTATACAATAATTCTACTATCTCGTTCATATTTTCAGTAGCACGTAAGTCAAGTTTCAAGTTTTTTTAAGTTTCTCACCTGCATGCTGTACAAGTTGCTAATGCGGCTGTGGTGGAGCAAGATGTGGTGATGCGCCTCCACCCTGTCCTTATATATGCGAGCAGACATCATCTTCCGTCCCAGCGATGCGCTTCCTGTTCGTGATGGCTGACCAAGAGAATGCTATGATTCATCGGCTTCTTTGCTCAGAAAATATTGTTAAGTTAGGCAGCTTTGCTTGTCAATGTCGAATAATCTGGTGGTATTTTTCCTCAGTAATCTGTTTTTACCGTAAACGGGCAAGATTACTATTTATTATATTCATTGTGAAGTAATGAGTTTAGGGTGATTCTGGTATTTTTCTATCATCAATTGAAGGTAACAGAATATTTTTTATTGTTTGACTTATTTCTTCGAAAAAAATCAATAGACTGCCTATCAATATTTATTAACATTCAGAGTGACGTTGTTTCAGTGTCATTCAGTATTTGAACTTGCATATGGTCAAATGTCACCAAGGTTATAACATAGGCTTGAATGTGATAAAGGTCGGTCAGACACACATGTGCAGCTTTATAATAAATTGTGTGATTGAACAATACAGAATCCCGGGAATACAGAATGATAATAAAATATATGATGAAATTCGACCAAAAATCATAAGCTGATAAAAAGCGATGACATGGGGAGGAATGTAATGGGTAGGTAATGTACAATGAAATTAACTGCACATTTTTTCACGCAATGAACTGTGAGTTCTATTGTATAATATAATTGCAAAAATTGCGCAATATCTAGGATAATGTACTGGGTGGTGTATTGATCAATATACTGGGCAATGTACTCTAAAAAGTACAGAACAACTAATTGTGTCATGCATTGTGTAATGTGCTCCGCATTGTACTGGACAATATGATTTACAATGCACTGTAAAATT